ACAAAGGAGTTTGGCTGTTTGTTGAGGGTTTTTAGGATCTTTAGAAAAACCTGAAATATTTCCTGATTTATTTGTGTGCAAGCATTACATATTTCTGCTTCTGGCCAAAATCAAACAAATAGGAGGAAGGAAAAGTCACAGCAAACAAATAAACAAAAATAAACTAGCCAGTAAAGCATAAAACCATTCAAAGTACATAGTACACATACACTCCTTGGTGAAACTGAGGAGAGGATCTCTTTTTGGAGGTATGAAAGTCTATATTTGAATCTAGAACTATAATCAAAACAGTAGTGGCTCTCAAGAGGGTCTGTGACAGTAGCGAATAGAAAAATGGGATGGAAGGGAAAGATTGTATTAATTTTGTCCTACATTTCTAAATCACAAATCTAGGGAGACAGCAGAATGTTTATATCAATAGTTGATAATAGGCCATGTTAAAGCCAAAAAGACAAAGAGAAACTCAAAAAGGAATAGAACCAGGGTAGCTGATCTAATTCACAGCTTCCTCTTTCAGTGTTCCTATATATGTTTCTTTTTAAAGAGGAGGAAAGCTTACAAAACTGTAAGGAGAAGCTTTAATCCATCAAAGGGTCCAACCAGGTTGTAAAGCAGCCCACAGACTGCTCAGGTTTTAGAGCTGGCTGGGCTTTGGGTACACAATTATCCAGGAGGACATACATGCTTATAGTTTAGCATCAGGATTAAATTAACCAGCTGGGGAGAGGAAAAATAAAACATCAGCTGACAATAACAGCCATCAGGACCCTGCTACATAGCATGAGTATTGGTTTGGTTATGTAAATACAGGCAACAAATGTTGAAAATATTGACTTTAAGAATGGTGAGGAGATCTGGTGGTGCTGGTAAGAGCTTGAATATTTTTTATGGCAATCAGCTATCTATTTATCCTCCCTCTCAGTTTTGTCTTCCTTAACATATGTTTTCCTATTTCCTAGAATCCATTTGTATTTGCACATTGTTTTAAAGCTATTAGATGGAACGGAACTAGGAAGGAGGTCATTGTGTGAGTGTGGGTTGTTTTTTGGTGTGGGTTTTTTTTAAATGAAAGTGAAATGGGGCTGAAGTGTGGGAAATTCTTTCCCTCAGCAGTCACTTAAAAAATTGGCCATTTTTCATCTACTTTGAGTGAGGGAAAAGACTGTCAAAGAATTTTAAAGGAAAACACTGCAAAAAGTTATTAATTGAAGAAAGATCTTTGGCCTCCATTATTCTAACCAATGAAAGCAAAATGTAAGCATTTTTATTTGGGGTATTGTTTCCTAAAAAGGCTATAACAAGTAAGACTAGACAGACAGAAGATAAAGCAGGAAAATACTAAGATATGGAAAAAACCAAACCCAGGATACTGCAACTTTGTCAATAGTCAACATTTCCAACACATGCGTTTTTAATTTGCATTTCATTTAGGAACATAAGATTTACTACTATGATTTAACCATCAGTCAACTAAACCAAGGGGGATCCTGAATATTTCTTACAGCACAACACACATACACGCTCTTGGATCTTCTTCCTCCCTGTATTCAGACTATTTTTTGTGTTTCAACATACATTTATTTCATACATGCAGTGTTTACGGTAAGATCATTGCAGTTTTACCAATATTATGGCATCTGAGACCACAGGAATGATGAGGGATTCAGACTACCTATGTCACAGTGCTACCAGAGCCTGCCTGCCACTACAGTTGAGAAAATAAGGAATCTACAGTAGCTGAGCTTGGCATCCCTAACCAACAGCCTGAATGTTACTAGAGACATCACAGATTCTCAGTACAGAAAGATCTAGTCTGATCTCCAGTGTAACATAGACCACTCTTGAATTAACTTCTGTTTTAACTACAGCATCTGCTGAGAAATCCAGTTTGTATCTAGAACCAACAACTCTTGCATAATTATGTTGATTAAAATGTATGGTCTGGATTTGTTCAGCCACAAAGGCCAGTCAATGAACCTTTTAAAGAAATTCTATTCTCCATACAAGTGTTTGTGGGGACAAAAAAAAAGGAAAAAGTTTGCTCTGTCTGCCTAATCTTTGTTAAGCCAAATAAGTTTTTTTTCTTGAGATCTTCAAGACCTATTCTCAATCCCCCAGTGTTTTTTATGTTTCATCTCTAATCCTCTTTCTCATCTCCCAACTTGCTCCTTGAATTCTGAACAACAGAATTAAGTATAATATTTGGGCACAACACAAAGTGATATTATCTACATTTTCTGTCCTACTAGACACACCCTGCCTATGGATATCACTGTCCTTTTAGTTAAACACATTGAGAGCTCCTTGTCCCCCAGCCTACTTCACAGAAAAACTGCTTCCTTGGAAAGTACCCTCCGTCATCCATTCTTTGTTCATATAAATATAGATAAAATCCATACACGTGGCAACTCTGAAGCACACACAGTTTGCTAAGACAATGTTTAGTACAGTCAGCACCTGAGAGGGATGTGGCTACCTCAGTGCACAATTCTGAGCACAGGATTAAGTATTCCTGACTACACTGGTGACCTGCCTTCTCTCTGAAATGTTAGCATTCAATATTCTTAGTACCTTCAACACAATTTTAGAGTCATCTGCACCTACTTCTTTTTTTTTTTTTTTTTTTTTTTTTTAATAGATACTGCCATAGTAGCTTCAGGTATTGCTTCAGTTTAAAGAGATTTATTTAAGGAGAATATACACTGGATGTCACAGGTGACATCAGTCAAACTCTTCGGTCAATAGATCCCCCTCTCTTTCCAGGTCAAACACACAAATCCTTTTGAAGTGTTTCTTCAGGACTTGCCTATGTGCTTCCATAGCATTTCCTTAGCTGCTGTTCATTCAATCAAGCAACTTCAGATGATATCCAATTTCTTGTGTTTGTATTCAACTCTTGGAGGACCCTCAAAACCATGGCTCACACTTGCTTGGCTTGTATGTAACCTCTGTTTGGCTGATGGCTTCAATTCTTCCAGCCATTTTATGCTGTTCCCTGCCCTTCTGTTCTGAGGGATATTTCAGACCAGCTGGTGCACTGCAGTGAGTCATTCCAGGCGACTGATCAGGTTCCATGAAATATTCCCCCTCCAAAATGGAGGTAAAGCAGGTTAAGGCAATTATTTTATCGCAGTTCACTAAACTCTTCCTAGTTTTAAGCAACATGAACTGTTGAAACCCTTCAGATTTCTAATTTAAGCAACACCCCTATTTTTGCAACCCTTTTCACTTATGATTCATATTATATTTTCCAGAAGTATTTCCTGTTCTTCTTCAAAAATTGTTTGTTTCAACTGTAGTCAAAGCTCTTGCCTGCATTATGATAGCAAATGCTTAGTGTGTGGCATGTACAATTCTGTGTATCCCCCACTGCAAGACTGGTGTCTAGTATTTGACAAACTCCTGTTAATAATCATAAGCATAGCACAGGTAGTATTCAGAAAACAAAAACAAAAACCAAACAAACCACAAACCAAACAACCTGGAAGTTGACTAAATATATTTCAAAACTGATTCTGAAGTATCATATGAGTTCTCTGGCTCCTATCCAGACCATCATTTGAGAAGAAATCCCAATCTATTTCTTTCCTACCTTTTTTGTCTGAAAAAAAAAAAAAATCTGCAATATGCCTGTGAAAAGGAAAGTGCATTTGCATATACACTGGATTCAGTTCCTTACTAGATATGTCTTCTCCTGGCTAGGCAAATATATTTCCTCTTGTAAATGTAAAGACTCTGCGTCCTTGTATAGAGTTTTGTTTGAAACCACCCAAGAACAGCTCACATAAATAGTGCACAAGTAAGCACAATGGGCTCAACATCCTGTAAGCAAAATGCTTTACTCTGCTAAGCTGAATTTTTTCAGTTTTTGGCAGGAAGATCATTTTAGAACTCCAATAAATGTACATTCAAGTCGTAAGGCTTTTCTCAGCTAAAGATTTACATGGGCCTCCTTTGTATCAGCCACAAAAGTATTTTAAGAGTTTGGAAATTCTAGAAGCTTTCCTCCTGCCTTACTCAGCCACTCAAGCTTGATCCTCATTAAATCCCCTGACATGTAATATATTCCAGTGTACAAGAAGCCCTTCATTACTTCTCCATGCTTAGAAGGTAATAAACCCATTTCAAAGGACAGAAGTAGGAACCACTGCAGGTGTTTCCTTACTGCTCCATGCTGGGCCAGGAAGGCTGCGCTAACGCAGTTTGAATGAGTCAATGGTATTCTCCAGTAATGACTTGAGAAAAAGCATTTTTAGATTCCATTTATGAGGGTTTTTGCTCTTGCAGAAGGTTTAGGAAGGAATTTATCTGAAATGCAGGATGGGTGCTGGAGATACTAATTCCATTTCTAACTCAGTTACCAACTCCTGTCACTGTGGACTTAGCAGGTGACTGCACATCTGCTCAGCTGGGCTAACTGCCACGGGTGCACACTGAAGACTACAACTGAGCCTACAGTTTCTTACACAGCCTTTGCTTCTCCACTTGTAAAATGGAGATAACTAATTTAAACAGCATATTGCCAGGCTCATTTTATTTAATAAATGTAGACCTCTGAGACCTCAGGTGAAAGCCATACCCCAAAAGCTATTTTCCCTACCATAATTTAAACAGGAACTGGTTTTATTTTCCAAGATTCAGAACAGATGAATATCAGGCTCATCTCTGTACTGGGAATATTTCTGAAATACATTTAGAGAACATGCATGCAGAAATACAGATTTCTCTGACACCTTAAACTTCACTATTTTTTAATGCATTTTACAATGAGGCATCAGCATTTTGACTCAGAAAAGTGGCCATGTTTGTGAGCACGTGTGTTGCAGTATTGGTAGAACTAACATCTTTCCAGTAAGACATCGGGGTTGCTTTAAAATGGGATTAGATTCTTGGTTAATTACACACTCATGGACAAAATAAACATACATTTGGACCCTTCCCTTCAGGAACTGAAGAGACTCCTAATGGATTCCTGTTCTTTGGTTGTGGCCCTTTCTTACCTGTGTAATTAGGAGGGCAGAGACAGACATAGTTGTTGATCCCATCCACACACGTAGAGTTATTCTCGCAGTCATTATCTTCACAGTCATCTGGGTTTATTTCACACCTCTCCCCCTCATACCCAAGGAGACAAGAACAGCTTTGAAGAAAGAAAAAAATTAATAAAAGTTAGCATGGATCTGAAGGGGCAGGAGGTTTGAGCTATAAAACTGAAATTAAATCATATAAAAGTGAGTTCCTGGAGCCAAATTCACTGCTGCTGTGAAGTACAGAGCACTTTAACCCTGTGTTTGGTGAAGGATGCAGTCTGATGGTTCATGGGGTCATGTAATTATTTACATGAGACATGAAAGCATCAGCAGGAGACAGCCTCCGTCATGCTTCCCTTTGCTTTCTTTGCTGATAACCCCAGCCCTGAATTGAAGTTAGCAACTCCAGGGCAGGAGAGCAAGCACTCATCACAATATTCAAATCCTTGGCTTCTCTGTTAATGATTTTGTGAGTATGTGGATACTTGCCTACTGAGGACTGCACAATCATAGGGCAACTTGGCAGCTTTTAGATGGCTCACTCTCTTTAAAGAGCAATGGCTTGAACTAAGTTTACAGACATGAACATTTTCTTCACATTACCACTCTGTCACTTGTCCAAACAAGAAATGTTTGGGAATGATTGCTTCTACAAGTGCAGTAAGGTTTCAGTACTTCTGCAGCTCCTTCAACATCTATTTGTAGAAGAGCCGATGATGTCTAGATAATTCATCAAAACCACAAACAAACAATGGCAGAGCTAGTAATGGTCTGTGAGGATGTGGACACCGTTAAAGAATAATCACACTAAGTATTTTATCTCAGAAGACTGAGGTACGGTCCCCAGAGGGAGTGTAAGAAACTAAGTGGTTGAAGAATGACTTTAACTTTTTTTCAATCTCCATCTCTTCTCCAGATCTAGAAGTTATGGTTGCTAAGAGAACCTTTATATTTTTAACTAGCTGTAAGTGATGAAGAGGTGGAGGCCACAGTTTCCTATAAGAGAGTCTAAAAACATGTGTTAAGTGTTCCAGTCACTTCAGTGGCTTCTAAGAAGCCAGGGATGATATTTGAAGTGTGAGTATTGAAGTGTCAGTATTGCTGTCCACTAGTCACAGAAAGTGTGTGTGGAAGAGAAAGGTTGTTTCGAGTCCCAGTCCAAACTCCACATGCACTCAGCTGTTCATTTCCTTTCCCATGCAAGTTTTGGTGGCAGAAAAGGAACTGAACAAATGTAAAGCACTACTGATGGATGAGGATGAAAACCAGAAACCACCAGAGCAGTCACACTAATTGCCATCCACTGCTTTCTGGAGCCAGAATTTCCAAAGCAGAGATAGCTGCAGAGTACTTTTTTTCAGCTCAGATGGACGAAGTGGACATGGGGTGATTATCCTGCTTTATGTATGTGTCATGGGGTTGAGGTGGGGAATGCCCTGGAGAAATAGGAGATTTTCGGAGTCTGTGAAGAAAACTGCAGCACTTTTGGGCTGGTTGCTCCTAGCATGACATTTGCTTCTCTTCCTCCTGTGTGCCACAGACTGAGCAGAGCGCAGGGACCCCCAAGGGAGGATGGCACAGAGCTCTACATCCACCTTCAGTCTGTCCCAGGTTGAACCCTGAGGGTAAGCTTAGATTCTTCATGACATGTGCAAGCTCAGAAACTAAGGGATTAACAATGAGGAAGAAAAAAGGGAAGGGAGTGTGTCTTGAGTCACCACAACAGTAAGATCTTCTAGATGGTTACAGAACAGGCATAAAGGTTCCTTGCTAACAGTTGTCTTCATTCAGGTCTGTAGGGACCATTCACAGTTCATAAGAGTTAGGAAACCTTCACCATGCATAACCAAATCCAAACTGCTCAAATAAATCCAATTTAGGACACAATAAATCAATAAGAAATATTTTCTTTTCCTGTCTCAAGCTCATTATTGCTAATAAAATATGTCCTCTTGCTGACCCTGCACTGATCCAGAGGATCACAGGAGGCAGATAAGAAAGAAGAGCTCGCACACCATCTTTTGTGGCAATGCAAGTGTCGGGGAGGGGGTTAAAGACATATAATCAAATACAGTGGCACATTCATCATGTCTCCTTTTTCGATTACAAAACCCCATTTTCAGGGGTTTATAACTCAGCCATAAAAATATGCTCCAGGCTGCAACTTGGCATCCAAGGTCTCAGTTTGGGAGCACAAATTTTTCTCTCCATTTAAAGAAAAGCAACAAGAGTGACTTTGTGCTGGTTATTTTTATGTGAATATAACACCATTTTCCTTCCACAAAAGGATTGGGACAGCTTGGATGTATGCAATTAAAAATGACATTATTAAATACTATCACAGTAATGCTTCAACTCAGTAGATTTGCCATTAGTAACAATACATATGGGATTGTTAACATACAATTGCTCAGTATTAGGACACATTCCATACTGAAGGAAATGTCAGCATAATTGATGGCATTTGGCTACTGGTCCCTATGTATTATAGGGAGTCTTTACATTATTGATTACGTATGATTATTTATTTTGATTTGCATTCAAATGTGCCAAATATGAGGACTGAAATTAAAAGATAAAACATACAATTTGGGACCTGGATTGAACCATATGTTGAAAGAGTTGTAGTTTGGGACTGTTTGTATGTATTTTCCCAGAAAAAGCTTACAAGAAAAATGAAGTTTGCAGAGTGACTGGAAGGTCATCGAATTTGGGTTCCAGCTGACCGAGAGAGAAAATTAATTCCAGAGACAATGATGAAAACTTTGTACTGACTAAATAGTGAAGCAGTGTGAGACAGCGTTTCATTTGGACCTCAGAAACAATGGAACCATGCAGGAAAGAACTATTTTCTAAGATGCTGTGATCTCATAATGGTCCAAATTCCCTATTCCCCCAGTTCAGGGATTTTCTGTTACTGTTGTGTTTTCCTATAAATAAAGAACTAAATAAAACCCCATTATCCTCATGAAGACACAAGGGAACACAGAACTTAATGACAACATTTTGGGGGTAAACTTTTGGAGCTGAAGTATACCGGCAATTTCGTAAATTTACTATATTCATTGTTTTTTTTTTTTTTTTTTTCCCATAAACTAATGAAACAGTTTAGCATCTGTTTATTAAAACAGGCATATATACAGTGTATCACATTTCAAAAAATCAACTTTTAAATAGAGATAGTAAATTCTTTCAGGAATATTAGTTTTTTGGTAAAGGAGCTTTTTACATCTACATCCCAATGGAGTAGCCTGTAAGTCTGGAAGTGCAACGTTTTTCCTTGAACTAGGCAGAATTAACACTAGGGAGTTAATCAGTTCCAGGATTTTACATTTATGAGGGAACTTAAAGTTTGTGGAAAACACTAAAGAAAATGCTCTGGAAAATGGAAGGGATTTTATATGGAGTAAAGTTAAAATAATCCAGAGACTTTTTTTTCCCAACACAGTGGGTTATCAAAGATCAGATTGTTGCCTGTGGCTAACTGAAGCAGAGCTGACAGCTCTGCCTCCTTTGTCAGTCTCACTTACAGGCATGCTAAATGACTAGGACATGTCTGACTGACCATCTTTTTCTATCAGTCTCAATAAGCACTTTTTTTGGCAACCTTTTGCCAAAGAAGACATAGATTAGGTTAGATTAGATTAGATTAGATTATTAGATTAGAACACAACAAACAATTCAGAGGGAAGAAGAACTTAAATTTCTCATCCCCTGAGCCATGGGATGCCACAACTATTCTTTAATACAGAAGTTGTCCCTACCTGAAAAAAGAGAATGTGAAAATTACTCAGAATTGAAAAAGTACAAGAATAAAAGATGCCAAGAAGGACTGAAGAACTCTAGCTGAACCTTTGCCCTTTGGCTGCCTCACCAGGACCTGCTATTACAACAAATCTGAGCATCTCAATCCCCTGCTGCTGTGAGCCTTTGTGGGTACCAGGCACAGCGGGCAAGTCAGGCTGGAATCTCAGTCATAACTATGAATTTCCTGTCTTTGCCTGGGGAACATCACCACCTTAGCATTATTTAAAAGGTAATTTTCTTGTCTACGGCTACAGAAACTTGAGAGTTAAACTGCTTGGCATTTCATAGGGAGAGAGCTTTGGCTTAAGTTTCCTTTTTACAAGAGTAAAGATTTGACAAGTTTGGCAGCAGAGTTTGTGTATGAATATATTTCCCTAGGGAAGAGAATATACAGAAGATATAATTTCTTTTACAGGCCACACAACAGAAAAATCCAAGGAGGCCTCTCATGAAAATGTTTTTGACATCCGCTTCCTCACAGCATATAATCTAAGGCAACATTTTCCCATCTTGATGAACACAATTTATATGTACGTAACTCTGACTGCTGCCATCCACTGGAGAGATTTCCCACCAAAATACCAAACCAGTCAACCAATCAAATTAAATCTCAAATTGTTTCTTTATCTTCCCTGTCACTGACTGTTCCATCCCCACACCACACTTTTCTATGACATGCTAAAGCTCCATGCTCCTCTTCTCCAGAGCAGCTGGGGCTCTGGACTGACCAAATTAAAAACATGGAGAGAAAACAGAGCAATTCATAAGCTGAACATTCAATTTTATGAAGCAAGATTTTGAAGAGATATGATTTTATTTGTCTTTTATTAGACAAACTGAAGCTATATAAATAACTATAAAAGCAGAAACCTTCCCTAAAAAGCTTCATATGTTGTTAAACATCAAAACCACCCCTGCAGTTTTATAAAGGATCTCAAAAACTACGTTCATTTGGAACTGAAGCAAAGCTGCTGAAATTGTAAAATTCTTCATGAGAAAAGTTCAGAAGTAGCTTTCATTTCAGATCATTCAAAACTTGTTATTTTCTACCATAGAACAAAACAAAAATGCTAAAGAAAAGCCTGATCCAAAATATAAGCTGAAACCTTTCATTCTAGTATTATGGATATAATAAAATGTTTTACTAGGACATTTTTAGTATCAGCTAGATTTCTGAAAAATAAGCAGAGTGACAGAAAACAGATATTCTAATATGATACAATTTTGCTTTGGCACAAGCTGGAAAAAGTTATCTAAGCAGTATTGCATGAGGGTGACCAGAAGGGAACCCGAACCAAAGACCACCAGACCTTTATTTCTCTCAAGCAGAAACTGAATCTGAACTGTTACTCCAGAAATTGCTAGGCCTGCTAAAATCTGAATCAAGAAGAGGTATATCAGATCAGAGTAGTGGCTTCACCAAAATCTGGGGGGTCTGCCAAAGCAGCATGACCATCTGCACGTGCTATGATCTGCAGAGCCTCCTCATCCTCTCCCAGCACCGTGCAGCAGTACGACCCCACAGAGGCACCTCTACCCAGGAGATGCACTCCCCTGCTCTGCTAAGGGCCTTGCCACAGGTGCTCCAGCTGAGCGTTAGCTGCCCCTCATGGCGACGTGGCTGTGTGTTTTACTCCCACTGTCCGTGTCGGAAAGCCTCCGGTCGTTATTTGTAACAGAGCCTGACAGTGTCCCTTCATCCCCATCAACCTACACTTTTCCACTGTAATATCACCGTTGTCCTTCTGTGTCCAACACGTGCTGGATCTGTTTCTGTAAGGGGGGAACTCTTGAGGATGGGCAGGAACAGAGACAGAGAGAAGCTTTGGGGCATTTCTTCCATTTTCTGCTTCCCCATTCATCCCACCCACAGGGAAAAATGGAAGCTCTTCTGTGCCTCATTCCCATATGAGAGGTTTGAGGAGTTAAAAAAAAAGGGCACAATGCTTTTCTGGAAATATAAAAGGCATCCTATCACTGGTAGGGGAACAGGACAGGGGTTGTTAACCCCCCAGTTCACCAAAAGTCCTGTCAGTCACCCAAACATAAGATGATTTTTTCTGACATAAGATGATAGGGGTTTGCTGACTTGGTTAACAAACAGTTAACCTTAGTTGGAACAATCTTAATCACAGCTGAAACCAAACTGGAATCACACTGGAAAAAATGTACTGGTTTGACTCCCTGCTTACACCATTTATAAACCTTGCAATTCTGTGTTTCCCTCCAGCTGTTGTTGATAGGAAGCTATATATAGGAGAAGACAAAGCAGCAGCCTCAGTAACATAAAGCATTTAGAAGTGAGGCTTTCATATATGCAATTGAAACAACAGCATGGTGTACTTTTGTACATATTTTGTGCAAAAAATAGCACATATACTGAAAATTTCAGCAACTCTTTTCTAAAAAAAAAAAAAAAAATCTATCAACTCTAATGACAACTAGTGGCCAATGCCTCAAACTTGTACTTAGCTGTAAAGTAGTGTCTGCAGCAGCACAAATCTCCCAGTTACCTCATGAAAATGAATTCTCTTGGAGTATCCCCACTTATGCTCCGTCTTTCTTATATGGGAAAACTGAGATCCGTAATGTCCAGCTGTAAAGGTTATTCTCTTGCAGGCACAATGCTCAAGATGTGGCAACCTCTCCATGTTTTTTAATGGTTTCTGAAAAGCCTGTTTATCTACAGGATTCTTCAGTATGAAAACATTTTGCATCTGGTTGTCAAACAACAGATGCTTACTTTACAAATACAAAAAAGGGTATATGTGAGTTTGAAATGCTCCAAGGAAAATTAGCATACAGATAACACAATGCAGATCAGAGAGACCGCTCAAAATAGCTCTTGAGAGTGTATTCTATTATGAGAAAATAAGGAGGCCTGCTTCAGAGAAAACAATATGTCTCACCAATGAAACCAGATTAATTATTTTGTATGGCAAATAGAAGTGTCACATGCAGCAGATTTTATAAAATAGCCATTATAGTTCATTAATGCAAAGTAGAAACACATTTAATTTTAACATCTCATTTTAAATGATCTTTGTGTTACTACCTGAATCCATCTTTATTTGTCTCGGTGAGGTGGCAGGTCCCTCCATTCTGACATGGATTTTGAATGCAAGAATTAATAGGCACACTGCAGTCTCGACCCTGTTTGGGAAAATTCAAAAGAAACAAGGTTAGTAAGACTCATGTCATCTGAACCAACGTCTCTTGCTCCCTCACCCAACACGTGGCATCATTTGCAGGGGGTCTTCAGTCTTCAGACCCATCACATCACCTAATGTTCTTTACTGATGGTCAGACATATTCATCGCTTAAGTGAGAATCTGGGCAGGGCAACTGTTCTGATCAATGGGACTGGTGGGTATCTTGGTACCATTTCAGTTTCAAGACTTTAATTAATTCTTTAATTTAAGCGTTTTAGGGAAACAGCTGATTTCATCATTACTCTAACACACTTTAATCTCTAATGTTAGTTACTGTGAAAAGAATTAATCATGACCACAGGTAAGCAGAAGGCCACACACAGTCAGCACAAGACCACATAGAGTCGGCGCTCGTTCAGCCGTATTTACCAAGCGGTCAGTTAAACACTGCAACAGTACACCGTACTCATTACTACACACCATCAAAACCTAAAAGGGAAAAGAATTTGAAAACACCAAATCTTGTTTGAGATATCATCACTGAATCAATTCCTTTCTTAAAGATTGCCCTAAACTATATGGCAGTTCCAACTGAACGTCACTAGCTTGAACAACCTCCACAGTTACCAACTGACTTTTATTGGCTCTTCAAGGCATAGACATATTTCTCTGATCATTATGTTCTGCTGAGTAGAACAAGCCTGTTGTAAAATTGGCAAATACACCAAAGAGTTTGGTCTTGCTTTTCAGCTACTCACACAGTTGGATGGAATAAAGACACCTCAAAGCCTCAATACTCGAGGTATCTGTGCAATCACAAGAAGTTCAAGAGATTGCTCTACTCTTCCTAATGAAGATCCCGTTAGCAGTGGCTCTCTGCCAGCTCATCTACTGGAAAGCTGATACATAACTGCAATCAAGATGAGAAAAATATCTCAGGAGATATATTAATTCAGTCAAGGTTGTAAGGTTTTTTTGCCTTGGTTTAAAAATCATTATTTACATTGTACTTTAGAGGAATAACAATGGTATATCCAGGTTTTCAAACAAAGAGGGCAGATGCCAGTCCATGACATTGGTTCGTGACAGATGTAACTTCTGTGTGTTAGTACTGAACACTACACTATCACTGCCAACTTTCCTTGCTGACAGCACTCATTGAAAGTCATTCCTTTCTCCACTGAATTGGCAACAACTTCCAACCCCTTTCAGACTACATGGTGTGATGTACTGGAGCAGGTTGTACTCAGTTTCTATAGTTTCATCTTTTTTATGATGGTTGTGTTGGCAAAATGAAGCATCTTGATGCTTCAGCCATGTATTACACATGAAAGCATCAACTGTTAGTTGTTTTTCCACCTAACTTTGAGACTTTGTTGTTCTCACTTAAGATATACTATAACATTAGAATTAAGAATAGATTTTGAGAAGCCTAAGACTGAACTTGGCAGATGTCTGACAATTATTTGCTTGCCTCAGGATGAATACAGTGGTGTTAGATAAGGCATAGAAAAGGACTACCAAAATGTTCAAGGACATGGAACTACTTTAGAAGAAGATACTATAAAGACTAGGACTTTTAGTCTGGAGAAAAGAAAATTCATGAGGGTTATATGAAAGAGGTTTACAAAACCATGGAGGTGGTGAATGCAGAATTTGTCACACACTAAATCCCTCAGAAGTAGAAGGACCCTTACGGATGTTAGAAGATGAGCTTAAAACAGATAAAAGAAAATAACTTATTCCAAAGTATGAGCTTTTGCCACAGGATGTTGTAAAGTCAGATAGTATAAAAGCCATTAGACAAATACACATACAATAGATCCAAATGAGATATGAAAGGCAATAGGCAGACATCAACATCCCTAGTTGGATGGTAGTGGGTGCTGGGAAAACCAGAGAGGAGTGGGTGACCAGTCTTGCCTCCTCTCCTCAAACAGTCAAGATTTGCTGGTGCCCTCATGACAGACAGAATGCTGCAGTAAATGCACTACAGACCCATGATGGCATTTTTCGTGTTCTTATGTCAAAGTTGTTTGAAAGGCTTATTTGGCTCTCAACAAGGAAAATGTCCCTACCTTTTTTTCAAAAGAACCTAGGCTGCTCCCTAGACGAGATGGTTTTGTGCATTGTAATGGAACAGATTTCTCAGGAAGATCACACCAGGATGGGTTTGATCAGTGTGTCTATGGTTGCATATCTCTTTGGGAAATCTTGGTCTTGAACAAACAAATAGGCTGGTCACATCTTCCTAACTCTTGTTCTTGCCCACTTCTCTCTTGCACTCTAAATTGGTCAAAAGATCATGCTGAGCTCTTGACCAGTGTGCCCATTTCCAGATGTGCCCAGCCTGGAGGTGACCGGCCAGCAGGACAAGGACTGTGCTGGTTCTGTGACAACTCAAGCTCCATTCATGCTTCGAGTACTGTTCAAATAATAGTAGCAATTTTAATTTGCCTCCGGAGCACCTAACCTGAAAGTTCTGTAGCCTCAATTAAGACTAATCAAGGCATTAAAAAGCCCAAATCAGCTTGTAAGTGTGAACTTTTGTACAGTTCATTTGATCTGGTCTGTCCACTGATGGTGCTAGACTTTCCCATTCTCATTTCCTACAGTTCAGTCCTCCAAATACTACTGAAATCTTCCGTATTTTGTCAGGTAGGACATACTGCTTTTGTACTGGGAGAAGAACTGAGGCACACAGTAATTATACTTTTGTCCAACACCACAGAGGAGCTTTGTTACAGAAATGGGAGACAAAGCTGTATTTCTTGAGGCTCTGTCCACAGTATTCCCCAGAGAGAGGAGAAGCAGCTTTGCATTTTTAGATTAGTGCAAATACAAAGAAACAAGGACATACTTCTCCTTGGTTGAATCGGAACACATTTCCAAAGAACAACAGAAAGGCCTGGCCAACCCCCTGCCTCTCTGTGAGTTCATTCCCCCAACACAGCAGTGCAGGCAGCATGCGAAGCCCTAACCGAAGTCCTGGCAGAGGAGGTTTCTGCTTCATCCCATGCTGCATCTGCCAAACAGCCTGTCCTTCTCCATCTGAAATCCTGAGCCCCCAAACGTCTCAGGGAAGAATTGGGAAAGCGCCGAGGGAAGCTTCTGCAGGTTTTGTTTTGGCACCATGTGGTCCGCAGCACTTCACGGATGCGAGCCGTGCAGCATTAGCACTAATCCACTGCCACCCTTCTCCAACATTGCTGGTGTTTTGCCCATCTGTGTTGAGAATCCTGTGTGTTTACCACGATATCCTAGTAAAGCTGGAAGATTCCATTTTTTTTATCTCTAAGATGACAAATACTTTTCCTGTGTCCCTGAAGAATGGACTATTTTACAGATACATCACTAACATCAATTATTTCTGTTTCATATGAACTCTTCATCACTAAAATATTAACACACTGGATCACTAAAATATTAAACCTTGTGCAGCTAAGCATAGCAAAAAGCAAAGCAGAAACTACAGTATCTGTTTTTCTGAAGGTTTTTGTTACAGTTGAACATCGTGTAAAACAGTCCCATCATTTCTACTGCAATTAATCAGATTATTTTGAATGTTCTTGTAAAAAATTAATAAAGATAAGTGTTAAAATGAGAGCAAGGCATTTTCAGTCTCTCATTGGCACATGAAATTTCTTATGATTTAGACTTAGATCTCACTTCCATACAGAACATAGTTGAATTATTGGTTTCTTGGGCCTCAGGCACCATGGAAACCGATTAGTATGTGCTGCTGAATCAGACTTAATTACAACACTAAGTTGCTATGTGGCTTTAGGAAAATTAGAGTCTCTCTCAGTTTACTCACTGTAATAAATGGGCAAACAGCACTTAATCCTTCTCTGAGGATTATCTTCTCTGAGTTGACTTTATCAATAGCACATTGAGAGCCCGCAAAACAAGTACAATTTCTCTAACACATAAGACTATGAAAAACAAAGATTTCTGAAAGGAGAGAAGCTGCAGAAAATATTGGTACTAATAAATCTACAGCAAAGCAAGGCCATTTTATTTCTGTGTAAGACTGTCACTACCCAGAAGAGACTAAAGATATTCTAGAAACATCCTTCAAATGAATAATGCAATTCTCTAGTCTCAATTTACAGTAAGACTGTTCTTACTGGAAAAATGGAATTGCTGTCAAGCATCACTAAAATTAATTTATCTGTGGGTTGGGAAATACTCTTTGAATTACATTCCCTGGAAAAAACCCTATTGTTACAAAGGAGAATACTGTATATTTGTTTCAAGACTGAAGAGCCTTTTAATGAAGTATGAATCAGAAAAAGAGGTGCAGACTTTGTTTCAAGGACAGGCAAGAAGATATGACTGCTTCAGCAATTCACAGAAAGAGGATGAAGGTCCCTCTGTGTGCAATATTTTATTTCTAGAGCTTTCTTAAGCTGCAATAAATTTTTGTCTAGTCTGATAGGAAAGCATCAGATCCAAAACACTTTTATATAATTTCTCTCATTTTCTGTAGGAGAGGAAAGGATTAGGTGTTGAAACATAAAATTTCTGCAACTAATCAGAAGACATATATGTCCAGAGTCCAGCTGCCTTTTTAAATCTTAAGTACCTCAGCTGGTCAGGATTTTATCTGGGCTGCTCCAGCTTCATATTTCAGTGAATGAGAACAGAAACAATCCACCATACTTAGAAATTATCAGTTCTTCATTTCACACTCAGCAGTAATTAAACACACTGGGCATTAGTGTATATACAAGCTGTTCCTCAGTACTGCTTTGCCCAATTCTAGCCCTTACAAGTATCCAGTACTGGAAAACATTACATCATGATTAGTAAAACACCCAAGAACAAGTAGCAAAAATTAATAAAGGCCTCGGCAGGAAGAACAAAGGATAATACAATAAAAAAGCACTCATTTGTTTTGACACTGTTTCAACCACTGCAATGATTATTATTTTTTTTTAAATTAATTTTCACAAATTAGTATTGTCTATGGAGACTGAAAGCTTCATTCGAGATCGC